AAGCCGTGAGTAAGGGAGCATTTCTTTTTATACGAGCCGACATGATGGTCTAGGCTGATGACTTGGGCACATACACTGTTGACTGTTGATGAGGAAGTACACCCGTCCTCAGTCTGTACCGTTCTGGACAGGTGGGCGTGAGATCTACTATTAAATACCCATGAGGCTCTGTGGTAGCATCTTCAAAACTCTCTAAGAAATATGCCTTTTGGGATGGAAAGATTTGATGCGCTAATATATTCATTTGTAATTTATCCCGGGGGTTTTTAAACATCACCAAATAATTGCTGTTCAAACTAATGGTGCGACTGTGTTTGCCCTGATGAAAAATGTTTTGTGTCAACATCATGACGCTCATGTTTCTGTGATGTCTGTACTGTGTAAAAATCTTGACCACTTCAGGATGGTTGGAGGCTTGAAAAATAACATCGTCCAAAATAATCAGATGTGTTTGTTCGGGAGGGAACAGGTTTTCATCTTCAAAAGAATCAGGTAGTCCTTGAACAAATTTTATCTTTTTATTCATCCTTTGCAATTCATTGTACATAGGTTGAAAGGAGGTATAAATCCATACAATATTTTCAGGTACAACATTCATCACACGTTCACAGTTTTGTAATACATTTTTTACAAAGTAGGTTTTCCCACAACCGCTGGGACCTACAATCATACAGGAAAAAGGGAATATGAAACGGGTTTCAAAATCAATTTCCTCCATAACAGCAAGTCTGAAAAAATAAAAAAAAATAAAAAAAATCTAGTTTTAATGACCAAAAGGTCAGCAAAGAGACGCCTTTTGTCATACACCACTCTAAACTTTTTCCGGAATGACAAGTTTTTTAACACAAAGCCTCTTTTATCACGAGTGATTGTGTGCTGCGGTACTTCAATCACACCTTGTCTTGAATTTTGGATGTACCCCTCCACCAGTTCTCTGACGCTGTCAAAGTTTACCACCTCACAACACTCCTGCGTTTGTGTAATGCCTTTTACGCGCATAACCACCTTTCTCTTGGATTTAGTTTGGTAGGCGTAACTCTTGGGACCCGCTGCTACAAACTCCTGAATATTGTCACCATCCAATTCATCGGTCAAATCACCCAGATAGTTACCCACTTCCAGAGACGTCTCACCCTCCTTCACTACATAGATTAAGTTGTCAATGTAGAGAACTCTCTCTTGCAACTTCTCCAAACATTCGTACAGTTTGAGGCGTGCATGTGCTGTGGTGAATGCTGCAACAAATATGTTACTCTGCTTACCGGGGGGATGTACACAGCGATCGCCGTATCTCCATCGCATTAAAGCCTTCTTGTCGGCAAGCATATTAAAGTAGTTGACTTCATATAACCCTGAAAACAAGTAGCTGAAAAATTCTTCAGGATCAGAGACGATGCTGGTACGATACAAATTGTCTCTCTGCGCAAACTTTCCCCAAAGACTGTTGAGGCTTAGTTTGGCAACCTGTCTCTTGACGGGGTTAGACTCAATCTTACCCGCATCTAGCAGAATACCCTGATGGATCTGGTAATCTCTGATGTACTTTTCCCGGCTCTCCTGATCAGTCGCCTCAGAGGGGTAGCCGGAAGCCTCCTGCTTACCTTTTAAAAAAGCATGTATGTAATCTGCAAACACAGAGTTACTACTTTTGTCAAAGTGCCACACTTCAGTAATTTTACCCACTCTGTACCCTAAATCCAGGGCCTTGTTAAACTCTACAGTGACCCACACACCCGTCAATGATCTCTCCTCATCACAGTGTGTACAGGTACCACTCTGATTGTTGGTTTCTGCACAGGTGCGACAGAGAGGAAAGGTTAATTTACCTCCTAAACTTTTGTATGGTAAAACAGGGAAAAAGAGACCACGAGGGGGGTAAACGGTGGCCTTGATTAACCCAAAGTAGTCTCTGGGGTCCCCAAAATCTCTGTAGATGATGGTGGGGTGACCTAGGGGGTAAGAACATGCGCTATTTACATAGGGGTACAGAGAAGTGAAGTCCACATAGTGCACCATTTCACCGGGCCCAGCTGTGTGTCTCAACTTCAAAGCGCTCGTTCTACCGCCATAAAGAGCTTTGCGTGGGCTGAGAGGTTCTGGGAGCTCAAAATCATGCAGAAATTTTTTTACTGCGTCTTTTGATTTTTTCATCTCCACCCAATCATGCTCTCTCATGACGGTAGGACGAGCGTTGTACTCGACCTCTAACGTCAGCAGTCTCTGCTCACTATCAGTGTGCAACTCCCCAAAGGTGACGCCTCTCAGAGGACATGTTCCTGTAGGACTAAAACACAGAGGACAACCGTGATAAAAACAACCGTGAAATTCCCAGACATGTTTTACACCATCAATCTCAGCGTACCCATCTACCGTGTAGGGGCCAATCTGTTTCTCCCCCCTGTTTAGAGCATGCTGTATGAAGATTTTTTGTGTGTACATTACCCACTCTAACCACTGAATCGATGCTGTGGAGAATCTTTTACACTGCTGCATGTAGTTGTTAGGGCATGGCACAGCGAGTGTTTCAGGGGGCAGGTAGTTGGTGACAAACACCTTCATGCAGGCTGAAGCTATGGTTATGGAGTTGAAGGGGTCCACACCAGCCTCACTCAGAAAATGGTCTCTGAATTTAACACAACCCTTGGAGAGAATGTCAACATCATTTTTACAATAGTGCAGAGCTTCCTCCCTAAAGTTAAAGGTACCCTGACAGGCTTCTGTGTACCATTTGTTAAACTCTTCCAGCTCACGCTCCCCCATGCGTTCCACACCATAGGCAGAGGGGGCGGGGGAAGGGCCCAACATACCTAAGCTGTGTCTCAGAGCTGAATTTGTGCGGGAAATACCCCTTGGACTGGTCAGTAAAGCCTAAGGCTTTGGGCATAGCGCTAAGACGCATAGGCAGGAAAGAGAGGGAGTCTATGAATTTAAGTTGATAATCAGGCTCCTCAAAACTGAGAATTTTACTCCCTGTCATGAGAATCTGCTGCGGTGCTACACCCTCTTTCAGCATACCCTGTAGATCAGGTAGCTGTCAAAACCTCTAGAATTATGTGCTAAAAAAACATTTTCCCTGTATTGTTTGCTCCTGAAATGCAAGAGAAAACGTTTAACACACTCTGCCCCGTAAAACACTTTCTCCACACCCGCCAATGTCTTTGCACACACTAGAAAGGGTACATGCTCACCTTTCTTACCCACAAAGGTTTCAAAGTCATAAAAGATCAGATCAGGATGCTCTGTCTCCTTGAGAAGGGTTGAATATAGCACAAATGTGTTTTAGCATCAGTCGGTAATTTACCCCCACAGATTTTGCACTTTGGGGTGACACAACGATGCACCTTCTTACCATCGGTCATGTTGACGTAGTAACACAGCCGGCACTTTTGACATTTTTTCACCTGATCACATAGGATAAACGGTCGCATGTTCATAGCGCTAGGTTTTACCTCTTTATGTCTGGCGAAACAGGAAAGCGAACGGCACTTTCTATGACAATCTGAACATTCCACAGGTTTGAGCGGCTGCGTGGGGCAGATGGGGTCGTTGCAAACCTGGCAGTAACCTTTACAACTGTGCACATAGGAGCAGTTAAATCCTTTGTAGCAATAATTGCAGAAAAATCCAGTGCCCAGAAATGCTTTCAGATTTTTTATCCCATAGTAATGATTCTGCAGTAAAAATAAGAACAGAGGTCTGGAACGATCTGCAAAAGTCGTCTCAAAGTGTGAGAGGGGCTTGCCGTGGGTTGTTCTGTAAAACACCACAATTTTGCGCCCCAGAATCTCTTCAAATTTACCCACATCACTAAAAGTAACGGGTGTCTGATCATCCAAACCAACCTGATGCTGCAAATACCTACCCATTTTCACACACTGGCTGTCTGTAAAAGTGGGCTCGAGAGTGTGAGCTAGGCTAATGGCATAGCAGAGACGATCAGCTCTGTTGTCTACAACGTACAGGTGTCGTCTTTTCTTGTCAACTATTTCACAATCTAAAGTTTTCTCCAGTTTACGTTTAGCACCCCCTGATGGGTTCTGTACAACCTGCACGATTAATTCAAGATTCTCATCATGAACAATGTTATTGTTAGATTGCACTAACCGGTCAAGCACCCCTTCAAAAACTGGCAGAACATTATCACCGTCATCATCTACAACTACTGAGACATGTTGTTGTACATTTTCACCCACCACCTCCAACTGTATCACATCATTACGGCTAGCCAACTGTAAAGCATCATCAGACAGTTCTCTAATTACCCCTATCACATCTCTATAAAATGCTGCTATATCGGGTACGTTTCCCTGAGGGGGCACCGTGAAGATACGTCTAAATCTATGCGTGTTAAAGTGACCGTGCGATGTATCTCCCATTCCCCCGTCCTCTCTAGACACATCCCTCTCTTCAACAGAAGGACCCGCCTCATTCAGACCCCTACCCTGTTGCAGAGCGGGTGGAATCTGTAAGTCTGAATCTGCAAGTGGCTCATCCTGGGTGTACTCATTTTGATTAGAAAAAGATGGCGACAGATTTTGGTTTAAAAGCAAGAGTGCATTGTCAATGGTTTCAATGGGGTCATAACATTGTTGTCTAGATTGGTCTACAGAAACATCCGTTTCTGCAGGAAAGTAGTTTAAAGCCCTGAGAGCATTGTTCAAGTCCTCAAAAAGATCATTTTTGACAGGAATTTGATTTATATGAGCGATTGTCAAAGCCAATTCTTCGTTCATTTTTATTTTATTTATTTTTTCAATTAAAATAATACCTTGCCTTTACATTTTTTCACATACGGTAACGACTGAGGAAATAAAAGTCTGCATGACTTGACAGAGTAACACTATGGCATTCATGTGCTGATTGTCAGAGGATGTTGTTGGCCCACTTCCCAGTTGGACTCCTCCTACAGCAGTTTCTGTAAAAACAAAAGATGATAAGAAAACTTTAACTCTTAAAACTTTTATGCAGACCAATGTAGTCTATATATATATATACACATTTTATTTATTTTCAAACGCGCCTTCAAATAGTCTTCTGGCGGCTCTACCACTTTGAGGTTGTGATCTTCCTCGGACCCTAGGGGGCGACGGTGTCTCTGGAACCACGAGAGGTGTGCGTGGTGCAGGTGACACAGACCGGCATGGAAGAGCCTGAGATCCTGGGGTTGTTAACATGTAGCTGGGGCTAGGTACTGCATGGACATCAGCCGCTGTTGTAACAGTTCTGCGGCCTGTTGAGGTATTTCATAACAAACATGTTTTGTTAACCTGTTTCTACGCATACGTGTGTATGTAGCCTATAAAAATACAAGACGTCATCACGGCGGATGACGCTACAGACACGGTAACGTAATGATTGATTCATTTGAACGCTGGAGCGGCAAGGTTCAACAACCACTCCTTAGAGGACTCAAAAAACACACAAAAAGGCTTCAAACATTAAAAGTTCTCACCCTGCACGTCTGGTGCTCCGTCGGCTTCAGGATCCGGGGTCCGCTGTTGGTTTTGCGGCCTCTCGCACCTCTGCAGCGGGGCCTCTAGCGAAGGATTCACCACAGCTGTAGGGGCCTGATCCACACTACCGGGGCTGAGGGTGTCTCTCCTCTTTTTCTGTACCGGTGTGTCCGGGGATGCTGCTGGGGTATCCTCTTCACAAATACCACCAATTTCCCCGTGAAACACACAAGGATGTGGTCTTTTCTGGGGTGTTTTCGACCGCGACGGCAGAGACACACCGCTCCTCAGGTCTTCTTCAACCCGTGTTGGGGTTGTGGGTACCTGGATCCGATTGGGGGTCTGCAAGGCTTGATTTTCGGCTTCTTGAATGGATTCTAAGGCATTTCCATCCCAACTGTCCTCCAGGCCGTCAACCAAAGCTGTAAGTAGATTTTCACCGTTCATATTAGAGGTTTTTTTTTTTTTTTTTAAATAGAATGAAAAAAATAAAACAAAATGTACCTAACACAGTGTGTGTGGGTACGTAACCCGTATCTGCTACTATTTAAAAAAAGACAAATCAGTTAAGAGAAACCAGTTAATTAAAAAAAAATGTTAAAAGTTTAATATAATAAAACAAATAGAGCTTACTTACCGGTACAGGGTGCATATCGGAGATCCTCCTGGTTAAAGTTATCTTCAAAAATACACAAGTTGTATTTAATATATTAAGCAATGGTGAAATATTACAATGAAAAAAAGTTTTTTACCGCAAGACATGTCGTCAGTCTGGTGTGGTCCGCAACAGATAAACTCTCTTTAAGCATGGCGGTACTTATAACAGTTGCAACCGTATACAGACTATTGAGGCTGTTGTGTATAAACGTTTACCCTCTGGAGGTATGCGGTAGATGACGACCTCTGTAATATTAACTATTAGAACTCTTAACAAAGCCTCACTTCAGAGATTGGCAGAGTCCTGAAAGTATCCATCTAAGACACGTTTCATTACTTTATAGTACTTTATTAACCCCCTGTCACTTATCATCGTACCATATAAGAACAAAGTATTTTTAAAGTTTTAAAATATTTATCAACTATGCATAATCTATTGACTTTAACTTAAAAAGTTTACCGTCTGGAAAACAACCCTTGACCTTTTTGACCCTTTTTGAGAGTTTTAAAGGTTCACCGCCATAGGATCGGGGTGGACCGTGTACAATCTATTGAAGGTTACCATCTGGAGGGGGGCTAAATGTTTACCGTTAGGGAGGGGGGGCATCTCTATCTATTAGACCCCTTAAAAACAACCTTTGAAGTATCAGATGATCATTGATCGATTTGACCTTTTTGACCGGGCACAAGGGCAGGGGGCGTGGTACCTGTCACTTTTCAGTTTGACATGAAGTGCATAGATCCCTCTCTCTAAGAGTTGGCAAGCTAAACGATGTACTGACTTTTGGACGGACGAAGCCTCTTCCTCCAGTGAGTGAGTCAAGACATTTTTCATTCAAATGCTGGTATATGTATACCTCCGGGTGCTGATTGGTGGGTGGGTACGTGTAGGTGTGTGATGTCAGGAGTTGTGTCCTTGAAGGCACCAATCGCCACCATGTATGTAAAACTGTACAGAACAGGTATTAAATAGTGAAAAAACAGTGACGGTGATAAGTTTTGGCAGACGTTAGAGACAAACAGTCTGTTAATGAGTTGAAGAGTCCGACAGCTGTTGGAATAAAGGACCTTCAATAGCGCTCATTCTTGCACTGTGGGTGCAGCAGTCTGTTGATGAAGGAGCTGCTCAGGGACCCTACAGTCTCATACAGGGGGTGAGAGTTGTTGTGCATGATTGACATCAGCTTGGCTAATATCCTCCTCTTACCCACCTCCTCTATGGAGTCTAGGGGGCAGTCCAGGAAAAAAACTAGCCCTCTTAACCAGTCACAAGACACAAACAGTGTTCAGCGGGGAGGAGAACTGCAACCCATGACTGTGGATGTTGTCAGGCAGTGGAAAGAGCACTTTAAGGAGCTCCTGAACCCAACCAACACATCCTGTGTGGATGAGGCAGTGTTTGGAGGCCCTACCTATATCCCTGAAGAGGTCTGTGAGGGAGTTAAGAAGCTCCCCAGTCGCAAGGTGTCAGGCAGGGATGACATTCTCCTCGAGTAGCTGAAGGTTTTGGACATTGTGGGACTGTCTGTGTTGTATGAAGGTTGGGGACAGTGCTTGTCGACAGGCAGACCGCAGTGGTAGTCCCATGGAGATCAGAGGTAGTCCTAATTGTTGGGGTGCTCAGCCTCCCTGGTAAAGCGTATGCCAGGGTGCTGACAAAGATTGGTGAACCTTACCTATGGTCAACCATATTGACCAAAAGAATGAGATCGTAGATGGAAGCTGCTTGATCTCCAAAATCCACAGCCTTAGAGATAGTAAGGAGGTTAGATATCAGGAGGGAGGTCAGCGTCTAACCGTTGATCTTTTGTGTCGAAGGGAGCCAGTTCGGTTCCAGCATCTCATAAGGATGCTTCCTGGCCGTCTGCCGGTGGACATCCAACTGACAGGAGACCACTGGATAGACCTAGAATTAAAATGTCTGGCTGGCAGACGGTGCTGAGAAGAGGGATGTCTGCACTACCTTGCTTAAAGCCTTTATACACCAGGGATGTGAAGAATAACTGCAGCACTGAACGGTATGCCATATCTCTTTGATGGTGTGGTCCTTCCGGTTGGAGAAGTCAGTCTGAAGTTTGGCTTTTGGACAGTGGTGTAAAGGAGGCCTCAGTGCACGAGTAGTGGTGTCTGTATTTACTGACTTCATAATCTCAGAGAATAATGTAGTAGAGTTGAGCTCACCATTAGATGTACTCACATTGGGGCCCAACATTACTAGAAATGATGCCCTCTTCCTCTCCCTTTGGGTTTGAGAGGGGAGGGAGGAGGAAGAGATAAATGAATCGATGACTCACAGAGAGCTCAGTAGCTTCTCTTCTCTCTGATGATGGAAGAAGTTGAACTCTGCTTTCCACAACTCCTCAACGCCTCCTGCAGGAGGCCGGAGCCTCCTCAGTCTGAAGATCTGCTCATTAACATCCTGCTGTTCTTCATCTCTGTGCTCACTGCTGCTCTCAACCTGCTCGTCATCATCTCCATCTCCCACTTCAGGCAGAGATCAACCTCTCAGCTTCACCATGTTTACTGTTATATTATAAACCAGTGTGAGCTCAAATAACGTCAATAACATTCTGTCAAATGTTCAGAATGAATTTCAAAGCTTGTGTTGTCTATGAGCCTTTGTGTACTTGTGAAAACAGTTTGGAAGGTTTAGAAGAGTTGGAGTTGTAGAATTTGTTTCCACAGACTTCAGTTTCTCCTGCAGAGTGTTTTCACAGGTTTACAGAGGCTGATGTACAACCACAGACTTTCAGGTTATTTCTGCACACACTAACAATCTTATTGAACTCAATTTGAGCCCTTAGCTCTCTTTTTATTGTGATGTACTGTGGCTTTAAAGTATTCTTACTGTGTTTATTGCACAGCTCTTTTTGGTGATAATATTGGTGATGATACACAGTGATGATAACCTCTCTCTGCAGGCAGCTCCACTCCCCCACCAACCTCCTCCTCCTCTCTCTGGCTGTCTCAGACTTCTTTGTGGGCCTCCTGGTGTTGCCGATTGAAGTCCTCATGACCGGGACCTGCTGGGTCCTGGGTGACCTCGTGTGTGCTCTGTATTCCTTCCTACCGATCACCCTCATCTGTGCCTCTGTAGGAAGCATGGTGCTCATATCAATCGACCGCTATGTGGCGATTTGTGACCCTCTGCATTACCCCACCAGAGTCACTGAAACCCTGGTTTAGAAAAGCTGTTAAAACACATAGTGACTCTTCAGATCCTGCAGCCTGACTCCTGTGATGCCAACATGCTGTAGAGACACACTGTGGTCTGAATAAAATTAGATGTTTTCTTAAAGAGCCTCTTCAGACATGTATCAGAGCTTTAATATGTAACATTTCCTCATTAAGTAGTGTATAAACTCTGGCTTTATGTTCTGTATGTAGTTGTGTACTTACATTACCCCAAATGTTTCCAACAACGTTCAAAATGGATTTGAACTGAATGAAGGTTGCATCTAAATATGCTTTGTACTGATTTTGGTGAAATCAGAAATTAGATATAAAGATGTGCCAAAAGAAGCAAAAAATAGCTTTACTAAAAAAATCCAAGATGGCGGAATATTTTTACAGCATCAGTGGGTTTTACCTACATCAGTAAAATAAGCATCATCTAAGGAACCCACTTTACAAACATGTTTTTTTCTACTTCTAATGGTTCATAAGTTATCAGCCATTTATTCAGATTTTTTTTTAAGAGTTTGTGAACATTTGAATTATGTTTTTAACTGAAAAAATGTGAGTAGATGTGGCCCCAAAACGTACAGAAGAATAAGCATATGAATAAAGAGTGAAGATAATAATGTGAGACTGTGTGTGGCAATCAATTAAAGTCAAATGATTTCCTAAAACTTAGAAAATAAAGTCTACCTGTAAATGTTCGGTCTATATCATCTCACCACCTGTTTAAAAATGCCCTTTCTTCTCTTTATGGGATCAATTCAACTCGATACAGTTTGGGATCAATAAGGTCTATCTGATCTTAATGTTTTATATGGTACGTTTGTCATTGCAAACCCTTTGTAAACACCTCAAAGAGGTAATCCTTATTAAGAATTTCCACACAAATATTAAAAATGAATGAAAGTTTAATCAGTTGGATTATATTAGTGAATTATTTGTATTATTGGGAGAAGATTTTATGTTCTGTTTGCCAAAGTTATGTAACTGCAGGATTCACAACAATAAATCAATAAAAAGACTCTGCATTATTAAATCATGTGATTTGTAACTTTATTATAAAGATAAACTATGGAATAATAGGATGAAGTGTCTCTACAGCACGTTGGCCTTGCAGGAGTCGGGCTGCAGGATCTGAAGAGTCACAATGAGTCTGATAGCTTTTCTAAACCAGGGGTACAAGAAGGCGTAGATCAGTGGGTTCAGACAGGAGTTAAAGTAGAACAGAGAGATCACAAAGACCACAGAGGACGTGTCGAGCACCTTGTCCTGTCCTGTGATGGTGATAAAGCAGAACGGACAAAGACACACTAGGAAGGCAACTACGACGACACCCAGGTTTCTGGCTGCTTTCATCTCAGACTTCTTGGCGGTTACGGTCACCGAGCACCGGACGGCTGCAATGCGAGAGCGTATGGCGTGAGCCTGAGACGCCGCCACCACAAACACTCTCATATACAGAACCACGATGACAGTGATGGGCCCGATAAAGGTCAGAATGAAATCGACGATTTCTGCAATGTTGCGGTTGACGGTCAAGCACTGACCGGAGCAGGTGTGATGCCTGCCCGGCTGCACCAGGTTGTCCTTCAGCATGGCGGTCTGACAGAGCACGGAGCAGCTCCAGCACAGAAACACACACGCTTTAACTCTGCTCTTGGTCACTCTCAGGCTGTAATGCAGCGGCGTACAGATAGCCACGTAGCGGTCGACTGATATGAGCACCATGTTTCCCACCGAGGCGGAGGTGATGATGTAGGCCACTAAATAATACAGGATGCACACAACGTCCCCCAGGGGCCAGCAGCCGTCTATGAGCAGGATCTGGAAGAACATCAGGAGGCCCACGAAGAAGTCTGAGACTGCCAGAGAGAGGAGGAGGAGGTTGGTGGGGGAGTGCAGCTTCCTGCGGGGGAGAGGAGGAACACGTTAGGCCCGATGGAAATGATGGCAGCAGGAGGAGGTCACAGAAAGCTGCAGTCAGTCGGACAATAAACAGAAAGTCACAAAATGTTTACATCCTGTTAGATCATCTGTAGGCGGCCTGTATCAATATAAATAAACCTTATTATTATCAACAGGGCTGCACAATATAGTAAAAACATCATATTGCAATATGTTTTATGATTAGCGTGGGAATGATCGTCTTTGCATTACAAATTTGTAATGACTTGGCCAAACTGAGATTCTGATAATATTACAATTATTAAATACAATTAATTGTGCAGCTCCAACGAGATCTGTTTGTCACAGATGAAACTTTCACAACATGAAACAATCTACAGTCAAATATTAAAGTCACACAGAGAGTTATTATTATAGTCATATTTTCATGAGCTCAAATAGAGTCAATGTCAACAATATTATTATATACTTTATAATACATAGTTTTATATTCAGGTTCTACGAGGGTGCAACAGCATTCAGTGCACAGCCAGTTTAATATTCGTCCCTCTGTGAATAATTTCAGTGAAGCACTGACTGTATCTGTGTTCTGTAAATGAATTTGTAGTGCAGATATGATCTTTCTATGTGAATATGTGTTTAAAGCAGATTGGATATAGTGGCAGCATTGATCAGCTAACAACACTATAACAGCACAGATGATTGAATGAACATGAATAGCATTTACCTGAATATTACAGAGGAAGATTACTGAACTACAAACAGTGATTTAGTTCTGACATTGAATATATGTGCCAAATTGCAGAAACATGCTTCGTTATTTTCTTTTTCTTTCTGCAAAAATACTAGTTGGGTCCTCTGTGTGACAGCCTGTGAGTGCAGATTGGAAGCAGGTACTCTCTCTCACACACACACACACACACACACACACACGCACGCACAATGAAGTAAAAAACACTGGTCCTCATTTCAGCGTAACAGCATTCAGACAGTAACAGCTCTCAGTCTGTGTGAATCCCTACTGACACAGATTATCTCTGCAGTTTGTGGAAGCTGTGAGGAGATTTATAGTTGTAGAAAACAACATTGAGGATAAATTCTGTGCATGACTGATAACCTCATTCGTGCACAGAATTCACACACAGAGGATTTTCTACACATTCCCAACAGTTTTACAAGCCTTCAAATAAATTCTGAACATTTTACAGAATCTTGACGTTATTTGAGCTCACACTGGTTTATAATATAACAGTAAACATGGTGAAGCTGAGAGGTTGATCTCTGCCTGAAGTGGGAGATGGAGATAATGACGAGCAGGTTGAGGGCGGCAGTGAGCACAGAGATGAAGAACAGCAGGATGTTAATGAGCCGAGCCTCAGACTGAGGACGCTCAGGTCTCCTGCAGGAGGTGTTGAGTTGTGGAAAGCAGAGTTCAACTTCTTCCATCATCAGAGAGAAGAGAAGCTGCTGAACTCTCTGTGAATCAGACACTACATTTATCTCTTCCTCCTCCCTCCCTCCCTCCCTCCCTCCCTCCCGTGTGTCACACCCCGCCACCCTACGCTGTGTGAGAGTACATCCACATTAAGTCATTGTAAACATATTTTTCTCTCTCTCATCTCAGCAGTTTTCTCCCCCCAAAATGAAGCTTTCCCAAAATGGCCCCTGAGTGTTCAAATCCTAAAACTGCAGGGGTCAGATGTATAAAGTACGACCAGTGTGTACAGTGTTCAAAAGATAACTGCGTTGAAATGATTTATTTGTATAGCGCTAATTCATAACAAAAGTTATCTGAGGACACTTTCCCAACAGTTCCAAGCATGAGCAAGACCTTGGCGACAGTGGCAAGGAGGGTGGCCGTCGGGGTCAGATGAGGTGAACACAAGATATAATCTGAGAGAAGCCCAAACGTGTAGTATGGGTGAACTGGGAACGTCTGGAGGGGGACCCTGTCCGAGAGATCTTCAACTCCCACCTCAGGAGGAGTTTCTCCGGCCTCCCTGTGGAGGCTGGGGACATCGAACCAGAGTGGTTGATGTTCAAAGCTTCTATTGCAGATCCTGCAGCCTGACTCCTGTGATGCCAACATGCTGTAGAGACACACTGTGGTCTGAATAAAATTAGATGTTTTCTTAAAGAGCCTCTTCAGACATGTATCAGAGCTTTAATATGTAACATTTCCTCATTAAGTAGTGTATAAACTCTGGCTTTATGTTCTGTATGTAGTTGTGTACTTACATTACCCCAAATGTTTCCAACAACGTTCAAAATGGATTTGAACTGAATGAAGGTCGCATCTAAATATGCTTTGTACTGATTTTGGTGAAATCAGAAATTAGATATAAATATGTGCCAAAAGAAGCAAAAAATAGCTTTACTAAAAAATCCAAGATGGCGGAATATTTTTACAGCATCAGTGGGTTTTACCTACATCAGTAAAATAAGCATCATCTAAGGAACCTGTGGTGGAAGTTTGACCGAATAAAGGAAAAACCAAACAAAGAGAAATTTGTCTTTGTATATTTATTCAAAGCTTCTGCGCAGAAGGATCGACATCAACAAGTAACAGTCAGTGTCTCCCGATGAGTCGATGAAGAATGCATTAATACCAGGGTTTTTATATGCATAAGAACAAAGAGTTGTGATGTTTCATAAAGAGATAGATGTCAGGGACAAATAAGGGAGGCATTCCCAAATGAGGGCCCACTCCCTTCTCAGACCAAAAGAAAAAGGAAAAAGTTTAGATGTTCAAGCCAGGCTATAAATGTGTCCGTCCTTGTATGCAGGTGGTTATCATGTAGTTTATCAGACATGTGTAGGTCGGGCTATCTTTAAGCCTGTCATGTATTACATGAAGCAAATGTGGTTTGTCCTTGTATTAAGACAGCAAGTTAATTTGCAGTGCAGCGGAAACAGCCTTCTACAGAGTGGTGTAACACAAAGAATCACAGTTAACACAAGGATTATATACTGAATGATAATAATATATATTTTTTTCCTCTACATCTCCCCTCTTTTGATCATACCTGATCACTTAAGTGGATGAGAAAAAATAAAAGAGCTTGGCCCGTGACTGTCAATAACATGTTAAATGTTGTGATAAACATTAGTATAATAGTGACATTAGTAATTAAAGTAACACAGGAAGGTCATACAGCTCACAGGTAATTAAACTTCTGTGATATCAAGCCGTCAAGGTTTAAGATACCACGTCATCAGGCCTGTGAGGGAGAACAGCCTGTAACAGAATCAACACATAGGCATCTGTGACCAACATCAAAAGATACAAAAAAATGAACAATGTGAGAAGTTAATCCCCGTAAAAGATACTGGCCTGCACATGAGGAGAAACTGAGGGGTGATGGAACTACCATCAATGGTGGATTTGCGAGCGAGCAGACTATGCAGGAAGACGAAAAGTGTTGCTTAGCTGTAAGGTCAGCGTATAAGTACCATGCATTGCGTTTCTTGATGGATTCAATATCCTCATGTTGCCCCTTTGGTATTACCCGCACCCCTTCTGTTCTATAAATTGCAGTGGATCTGCGTGGTCTTGATTTAGCTACGTGTGTCTCATTGCTTGGGCTTGAGGGTCTTAGTGTTTCGTGATATGTGTCGTGTCTCGAACCATAACACTGGGATAACAATCAGTACAGTCAGGATAAGGAGAAAACAAATAGTACCACGCAGACCACAAAAAACCTGGGTGTCTGAAAGGATGCCATGGGGGTCCTTGTGATGGCGTCATCTTTGACACGTGGGTTAACCTCCTACCACACTTATCTATGTGTGACCTTCTTGCAGCTTGAGAAACTCGGGTTACTACCCTCCTCTCTCTCCCCGACCACACAAGATAAGTGAGGTGATTGGCTCACAACACGGTCTCCGATACGTTCGTTGGTAGCTTGGCACGCTACTTTCCGTTGGTAGCTTGGCACGCTACTTCCCTCCTGTTCCAACAGGTGGTTGGAAGTCGTCGTAGGGTTCCGGGATGCGCTTGCAGTGGCTAGCGTGGACCCAAGGAAGTTTCCCAGCAACCTTTACTGCAGTCTGAGTCATGAGAAGGACCTGGAACGGCCCTTGAAACCGCCGCTGCTTCCAGTGTTTTCTCCTGAAGTCTTTGATCACCACCCAGTCACCAGGCTTGAAGTTGTGCTGTGGTGTGTCAGCTGGCGTGGGCAGTACGGCTTTCACCTGAGAGTGGAGAGCTGAAAGGGAAGCTGTGAGAGTTATGCAATAGTTCAACATGTCGTCATCATACAGTTTAGAGTCTAAAGAAGCAGTCCCTGATCTAAGCCCTGTGTTAGGAGGCCTCCCATAAACTACCTCAAATGGACTCAATCCATGTTTGTTTCTGATTCGCGTGCGCATGTGGAAAAGCACAAGAGGGAGTGCTTTTATCCACGTCAAACCAGTTTCCTCACAACATTTGCTGAGTTTCGCTTTAATGGTGCCATTCTCCCTTTCAACAGCACCGCCGCTCTGTGGATGATAAGAACAATGATGTTTAAGGTCATAACCGAGAAATTCAGACATTTCTTTCATAGCTTGATGGATGAAAGCTGGACCATTATCACTGCTGAGTTTTGTGGGAATTCCCCACCGTGGGATGATCTCCCTGAGGAGAGCCTTGGCCACTGCGCCTGCATCCTGTTTGGAGGAAGGAAAAACTTCAACCCATTTGCTGAACATGTCCACCAACACCAAACAATATTTCTTTCCTTCACATGGTGAGAGTTCTATGAAATCCATCATCCAGTATTGAAAAGGGCCTTGGGGAGGAGGATGACCGGGCTGCATAACCTTTTGAGCTCCCGCAGCATTATGTGTTGCACATGTGATACACCTTTTACAGTAATCAGAGGCAAAAATTGAAAACCCTCTGGTATACCAGTTAGCACTTATTGCTATACTCATACCCCCTTTGCCCACGTGGTCCTTTCCATGTGCTAATTTAGCATAGTATGGAAAGAGGGCACGTGGCAAACATGGTTTAGAATCAGGCCCAAACCAAATTTTGTTCGAAAATGTGGCTCCAGCTTTTGACCATTGCGCCTTTTCTGCGGCGGTTGCCAGTTGTTGGATGGTGGGGAGATCAGCACATGGGTTAACGTCCGGCTGTGAGGAGGAAAGGAGGATGTGAAACATGTCACCTTTAACAGCAGCAGCCTTTGCTGCTGCATCAGCAGCGGCATTTCCTACAGAGACAGGATCAGAGTTATTAGTGTGAGCATCACATTTCATCACAGAAACTTTTGCTGGCAACATTATAGCACCCAAAAGATCAGAAACAAGATGGTGATTAGCTACAGGTTTGCCAGAGGAGGTGAGAAAACCTCTGTGTCGCCAAAGGGCCCCAAAGTCATGAACCACCCCAAACGCATAGCGAGAGTCTGTGTAGATGTTCACTATTTTGCCCTCAGCGTGTTTGCATGCTTTGGTGAGCGCTACTAGCTCTGCAGCTTGTGCTGAAAAATGAGATGGTAATTTGCCTGATGCTACAATTTCGTGTAGAGTGACTACAGCAAAACCTGTTTGATTGATGCCTGTTTTGTCTCTTGATGCAGAACCATCCACAAACAGCTTGAGGTCAGCGTTTGGGAGAGGTGTGTCTGACAGATCAACCCTTGGCGAACACTCTTCCTCCAGAATCTGCACACAGTCATGAAAGTTTTCTGAGTCATCGCCATCTTCCTGTGTTGGGAGGAGAGAAGCAGGATTTAAAGTAGAGCATCGTTTGACAGTAACATTAGGCATTTCCAACAATGTGGTGTGATATCTCAACCAGCGCTGCGCAGACAAATGCGATGTCTTTTGTGTGTGCAGAATGTGAGCTATAGCATGTGGTACCATAAGTATGAGCTCAGAATAGCCTACTAAATCTCTAGAGGCTATCACTGCCTTCTCTGCAGCTGCTACAGCTCGAAGACAGGGAGGGAGACCTGTTGCCACTGGATCCAGCTTTGTAGAAAAATAAGCAACAGGTCTGAGTTTATCTCCATGTTTTTGGCAGAGGACAGAAGTGGCATATCCACCCTTTTGATCAATGAACTGTACAAATGGCTTGTTTGGATTTGGCAAGCCAAGTGTTGGAGCATTTACAAGTGCACATTTCAAATCTGCAAAGGCCTTTTCTGCTTCTGGGGTCCATGTAATTTTGCCATGAGCTGTCAACTTCTTGCCATGGACTGTAGCTGAGAGGGGTGCCTCTCGCTCTGAGTAGTTAGGGATCCACTGTCTGCAGTATGACGTCATTCCTAGGAAACTCAGCACATGCTTCTTTGTTACTGGCCTAGGAACATTTTGGATTGCTGCAATTCGTTTGGGAGAGAGGGATTTGCCCTCTGCTGTGATCACATGTCCCAGGTATGCTACTTTTGTCTGAACAAATTGCAATTTGGACAAGCTGGCTTTGTGACCGCTGTTAGCCAGAAATGTTAATAGTGCAATCGTGTTTGTTTTGCATGCCTCCTCTGAGGGGCTGGCCACCATAAGGTCGTCTACATAAGCTAATAAGACGGAACCTGATGGAAATTCAAAATTTTGCAAATTTAGGCTCAGCTGCTGATGAAAGTACGTAGGACTTTCCGAGTACCCTTGTGCACATCTGGTCCAGGTGTAGCTACGCCCCTGAAAGGTGAATGCAAACCAATATTGACTTTCAGGATGGACTGGTACGGAAAAGAATGCATTGGCCAAGTCTACAACCGAAAAATGAGTTGCGTTTGGGGGGATGAGAGACAGAATGGTATGTGGGTTGGAAACTTCAGGCGCACGCGGATGTACTGCAGCATTTACTGCTTGCAAATCTTGTACAAAACGCCATTCTCTTGGTTGATCCTCATCCCTAATTTTCTTAACAGGAAATATTGGAGTACGTACTGGTGAATCATTGCATGGAACAATTATTCCTGCTTTTAGTAAGGATTTAAACACCGGTGTGATGCCATCTATGGCTTCCTGTTTTAAAGGATATTGTTTCAAACAAGGCCTGTAGTCTGATTTTGGATGAATCACCAAAGGTGTCGCATTTTTCATAAGTCCAACATCGTACTTATGTTTTGCCCAGAGGCAATCCGGCACCTGTGTTAGTTCAGCTGGCATGCTTTCAGTTGTCATGACTGTGTACACAGATGAACCACGTGGTTTGTTCTCTAACAGTTCTACTGTTCTTTTAACTTGCACTGTAGATGTTACTGCTGTGCGATATACATCACCGGTTTCACTGTACTCAGTCCTAGGATCCATCGTTCTGCAGAAATCTGAACACCCGTGTTTGCCTCGGAGCCAGGGGCCAAGGTCCTGCCATTTCCACGACTCGGGCTTCGCCAGAGAGATGTGTGGGGTTATATTCTGAAAAATTTGGTCTTGTGCAGCAGAGAGAGTAACAGAAACAACAGCAACTGACTTTGTCCAGTAAATGTGTGTCAAACTTAACTCCTCTGACTCTTCAACTTTCGCGCACCAATCTTTCTCAAATTCTGTGTCTTTCCCTTCACTGACATGTGCTGTGCAGTGCAATCCCTGTCGTGTCATAAAACTCCCTGCTTGTGTGCTGTGTGTGTGTGCGAATGACGTCAACGCCTCTGGAGTATGTGAGAGTGAGTTATGCAATAGTTGCCATTCGTAGACATAGAGCAGTTCAAGTGGGCTATATTTAGACATTAGTGTTGTGAGTGAATGGTCTGGATTACTTTGTTTCAAAACTTTTACCCCGTCCGGGGTGGAGTGGAGAATTATGCCAAAACGGCACATCAGATCTCTGCCTAGCAGATTGATTGGACAGTTCTTTGAAATAATAAATGAATGTTTAGTCACCTGATTATCTAATTCGCACTGGATAGGGGCTGAATAACTGTCTCTACACGCCTTTCCATTAGCACCAACAGTTAAACAGGTTCTAACGCTGAGTTTGGGAGCGTAAGGTAAAGCTGACGCAGTCAAAACAGATGCTGTAGCTCCTGAGTCTACCAAAAATGTCACATCATGTCCGCTAACAGACAAGGTCAATGTGGGAAATTTTCTATAGCTTTCATCATGATACATTGTATATACAAATATATCGTCTTGAGGAAGGTGCTTTGGATTTCTTTTCTTCCTGGGTGTTTCTGATGTTACATTTGTATCTTTATCTTGTGTTTGAGTGTGTGTGTGCATTACCTCATCATCTTGCTTCGCCCTGGGTGACTCCTGGTCCTCTGGGGTCCGCCCATCGCCACCGTTTCAGCTGGAGGTTTCCTCAGCTGCTTTCCTGGGGTGTGGGCATTCATTCGCCCAATGTCCTTTTCCTCTGCAGTTGAAACATTCTTCTGGGTCCCAGGGGCCACGTCCCCTGCCCGCACGGCGTTTCGGAATCTGCCTTTTCCCCGTCCTCGCCCTCGTCCTCGTGCCCCGCTCGCCATTGCATTGTACATGGTCAGCTGGGCCTCGTCCAGCCTCTCCTGTTTCTTTTTCTTCCTTTGTGCGTCCTGACGCTTTTGAGTGTCTTCTTCATGCTCAGCATGTTGTAAAATCTCTGCCAAGCTACAGGTTTTCCAGGTAATACAGGAGCGGCGGCAGGCTTCTGCCAGTGAGGGGTGCATTCTGCTTAGGAAAAGGCATTTTAAGTTTGATTCATAAGCTGTGAGTGGGGAGCCTCCCATTGTATTTGGGCGCTGCATACCGCTATGACAGTCAAAGGCAGTAGTGAGGCGCGCCAGGAATGCGCCCACAGCCTCGTCAGAGCCCTGATTCATTAGCTCCAGAGCGGTCATGTCTTGTGGAATTGGGAAGGCAGCCTGAATCTCTGTGCAGAGTGCGGCAATTGAGTCTCGATAGTCTTGGTTGGCATTATTATCCCATACTGGATCTTTTAAACGCAGGGGCAGTCTGGTTTCAGTGAAATAGCCCCTTATTTTGTGATACTGAGTCCCAAAGTTCTTTTGCAGCAGCCTTTGTATTTCTCTCATGGTCGGCCTATAATCTCTGCAGAAATGTTCAAATTCTTTTGCCCACTGAGTGGAGTTCTTTTCTGGCCGGGGCAGGTGAGCGACGGCGTCGATTAGGTCTGACTCTGTCCAGGGACGATGGACCAACATTAGGCCTTCAGGTCCCGCCACCTCCACCATCGGGCACACCAGTTCAGGGGCGGTGTCATGCCAAACTGTTTCGTCCTTGTGTCCGCTTTCCATCTTCGTCTTGCTTCTGGTGTTGTCTGCCGGTCCCCCACCGCTGGCCCCTGCTTCTGCCTGTGTTGGGGTGGCCGCTGCTGGGGATGCAGGTACCGGAGCTGGAAGTACGGGCTGTGGTACAGCTGGGTTGTACGGTGGCGGTGGAGCGGAGTCCAGATCAGGGTGCACTCTCCCAGGGTTCAGCTCGGACAAGAGAGGAAATTGTTGGTTAACATTTTGTGTCTTCAATTTCTGTTCTTTCTTTCCTTTCCCTACCTCTTCTTTTTTATTCTGACTCCTTATCTGCCGTCTTACTCTCTTCTGATTCTCTTCTTTCCACATTCCAATCTGCCTTAAAGGGTGTAAATCCCTTTTTCTGTTTCTTTGAAAGTGCTTCATATTATCACTCCCTTCTTTTCTCTCTAGTTTCTCCTTCAGTTGTGCTAATTGTCTGTCACTCAAGCTGCCTTCTGCTGGGAATCCTAGTCTCACCCACACATCAAGCTGCGCACAACTACCAGGATATCTTTCGTTCATAAAATGGCACAGTGGTGATAATTTATTTGGACCTCTTGGTTCCAGCTCCGAGCAACTACGTTGTTTACTTTGCAAAGATCCCATTCTCTAGTCCTAACTTCCCTGTTAGTTGACTAAGACACGTCTGTCTACCCCCTAAGTGCTTCTGTTTAACCTTGGAAGTCCAGTTAAACACCACATAGTCCGGGTGAGAGTTGCTAGCTCCGGACCTCCCTGCTTCACTGCACTGCCGGCGCAGAAGGAGAGGCTTTTTAATTTTAAGTGCACTTCTACTTAATCAATGATTTGATTAATTTCAAATGTTTTCCCTTTTAACAATTTAAATTCTTTCTCACCGTTTTTGGTTGCACGCGTTTAGGTTCTTTCCTTGGCAAGGATACGATCGCTGGCCGGGCTCCGTTGAAGGAACAGCGTCTCACCCTTCGGGGGAATCTTGTATTTAGTGCACTTTGCCGTTGTTCCAACGGAGTCCAGATCAGTCGTCGTATCCCATCCTCGTCGCCAAGTTTGTGGTGGAAGTTTGACCGAATAAAGGAAAAACCAAACAAAGAGAAATTTGTCTTTGTATATTTATTCAAAGCTTCTGCGCAGAAGGATCGACATCAACAAGTAACAGTCAGTGTCTCCCGATGAGTCGATGAAGAATGCATTAATACCAGGGTTTTTATATGCATAAGAACAAAGAGTTGTGATGTTTCATAAAGAGATAGATGTCAGGGACAAATAAGGGAGGCATTCCCAAATGAGGGCCCACTCCCTTCTCAGACCAAAAGAAAAAGGAAAAAGTTTAGATGTTCAAGCCAGGCTATAAATGTGTCTGTCCTTGTATGCAGGTGGTTATCATGTAGTTTATCAGACATGTGTAGGTCGGGCTATCTTTAAGCCTGTCATGTATTACATGAAGCAAATGTGGTTTGTCCTCGTATTAAGACAGCAAGTTAATTTGCAGTGCAGCGGAAACAGCCTTCTACAGAGTGGTGTAACACAAAGAATCACAGTTAACACAAGGATTATATACTGAATGATAATAATATATATTTTTTTCCTCTACAGAACCCACTTTACAAACATGTTTTTTTTCTACTTCTAATGGTTCATAAGTTATCAGCCATTTATTCAGATTTTTTTTAAGAGTTTGTGAACATTTGAATTATGTTTTTAACTGAAAAAATGTGAGTAGATGTGGCCCCAAAACGTACAGAAGAATAAGCATATGAATAAAGAGTGAAGATAATAATGTGAGACTGTGTGTGGCAATCAATTAAAGTCAAATGATTTCCTAAAACTTAGAAAATAAAGTCTACCTGTAAATGTTCGGTCTATATCATCTCACCACCTGTTTAAAAATGCCCTTTCTTCTCTTTATAGGATCAATTCAACTCGACACAGTTTGGGATCAATAAGGTCTATCTGATCTTAATGTTTTATATGGTACGTTTGTCATTGCAAACCCTTTGTAAACACCTCAAAGAGGTAATCCTTATTAAGAATTTCCACACAAATATTAAAAATGAATGAAAGTTTAATCAGTCGGATTATATTAGTGAATTATTTGTATTATTGGGAGAAGATTTTATGTTCTGTTTGCCAAAGTTATGTAACTGCAGGATTCACAACAATAAATCAATAAAAAGACTATTAAATCATGTGATTTGTAACTTTATTATAAAGATAAACTATGGAATAATAGGATGAAGTGTCTCTACAGCACGTTGGCCTTGCAGGAGTCGGGCTGCAGGATCTGAAGAGTCACAATGAGTCTGATAGCTTTTCTAAACCAGGGGTACAAGAAGGCGTAGATCAGTGGGTTCAGACAGGAGTTAAAGTAGAACAGAGAGATCACAAAGACCACAGAGGACGTGTCGAGCACCTTGTCCTGTCCTGTGATGGTGATAAAGCAGAACGGACAAAGACACACTAGGAAGGCAACTACGACGACACCCAGGTTTCTGGCTGCTTTCATCTCAGACTTCTTGGCGGTTACGGTCACCGAGCACCGGACGGCTGCAATGCGAGAGCGTATGGCGTGAGCCTGAGACGCCGCCACCACAAACACTCTCATATACAGAACCACGATGACAGTGATGGGCCCGATAAAGGTCAGAATGAAATCGACGATTTCTGCAATGTTGCGGTTGACGGTCAAGCACTGACCGGAGCAGGTGTGATGCCTGCCCGGCTGCACCAGGTTGTCCTTCAGCATGGCGGTCTGACAGAGCACGGAGCAGCTCCAGCACAGAAACACACACGCTTTAACTCTGCTCTTGGTCACTCTCAGGCTGTAATGCAGCGGCGTACAGATAGCCACGTAGCGGTCGACTGATATGAGCACCATGTTTCCCACCGAGGCGGAGGTGATGATGTAGGCCACTAAATAATACAGGATGCACACAACGTCCCCCAGGGGCCAGCAGCCGTCTATGAGCAGGATCTGGAAGAACATCAGGAGGCCCACGAAGAAGTCTGAGACTGCCAGAGAGAGGAGGAGGAGGTTGGTGGGGGAGTGCAGCTTCCTGCGGGGAGAGGAGGAACACGTTAGGCCCGATGGAAATGATGGCAGCAGGAGGAGGTCACAGAAAGCTGCAGTCAGTCGGACAATAAACAGAAAGTCACAAAATGTTTACATCCTGTTAGATCATCTGTAGGCGGCCTGTATCAATATAAATAAACCTTATTATTATCAACAGGGCTGCACAATATAGTAAAAACATCATATTGCAATATGTTTTATGATTAGCGTGGGAATGATCGTCTTTGCATTACAAATTTGTAATGACTTGGCCAAACTGAGATTCTGATAATATTACAATTATTAAATACAATTAATTGTGCAGCTCCAACGAGATCTGTTTGTCACAGATGAAACTTTCACAACATGAAACAATCTACAGTCAAATATTAAAGTCACACAGAGAGTTATTATTATAGTCATATTTTCATGAGCTCAAATAGAGTCAATGTCAACAATATTATTATATACTTTATAATACATAGTTTTATATTCAGGTTCTACGAGGGTGCAACAGCATTCAGTGCACAGCCAGTTTAATATTCGTCCCTCTGTGAATAATTTCAGTGAAGCACTGACTGTATCTGTGTTCTGTAAATGAATTTGTAGTGCAGATATGATCTTTCTATGTGAATATGTGTTTAAAGCAGATTGGATATAGTGGCAGCAGTGTTCAGCTGACAACACTATAACAGCACAGATGATTGAATGAACATGAATAGCATTTACCTGAATATTACAGAGGAAGATTACTGAACTACAAACAGTGATTTAGTTCTGACATTGAATATATGTGCCAAATTGCAGAAACATGCTTCGTTATTTTCTTTTTCTTTCTGCAAAAATACTAGTTGGGTCCTCTGTGTGACAGCCTGTGAGTGCAGATTGGAAGCAGGTACTCTCTCTCACACACACACACACACACACACACACACGCACGCACAATGAAGTAAAAAACACTGGTCCTCATTTCAGCGTAACAGCATTCAGACAGTAACAGCTCTCAGTCTGTGTGAATCCCTACTGACACAGATTATCTCTGCAGTTTGTGGAAGCTGTGAGGAGATTTATAGTTGTAGAAAACAACATTGAGGATAAATTCTGTGCATGACTGATAACCTCATTCGTGCACAGAATTCACACACAGAGGATTTTCTACACATTCCCAACAGTTTTACAAGCCTTCAAATAAATTCTGAACATTTTACAGAATCTTGACGTTATTTGAGCTCACACTGGTTTATAATATAACAGTAAACATGGTGAAGCTGAGAGGTTGATCTCTGCCTGAAGTGGGAGATGGAGATAATGACGAGCAGGTTGAGGGCGGCAGTGAGCACAGAGATGAAGAACAGCAGGATGTTAATGAGCCGAGCCTCAGACTGAGGACGCTCAGGTCTCCTGCAGGAGGTGTTGAGTTGTGGAAAGCAGAGTTCAACTTCTTCCATCATCAGAGAGAAGAGAAGCTGCTGAACTCTCTGTGAATCAGACACTACATTTATCTCTTCCTCCTCCCTCCCTCCCTCCCTCCCTCCCTCCCGTGTGTCACACCCCGCCACCCTACGCTGTGTGAGAGTACATCCACATTAAGTCATTGTAAACATATTTTTCTCTCTCTCATCTCAGCAGTTTTCTCCCCCAAAATGAAGCTTTCCCAAAATGGCCCCTGAGTGTTCAAATCCTAAAACTGCAGGGGTCAGATGTATAAAGTACGACCAGTGTGTACAGTGTTCAAAAGATAACTGCGTTGAAATGATTTATTTGTATAGCGCTAATTCATAACAAAAGTTATCTGAGGACACTTTCCCAACAGTTCCCAGCATGAGCAAGACCTTGGCGACAGTGGCAAGGAGGGTGGCCGTCGGGGTCAGATGAGGTGAACACAAGATATAATCTGAGAGAAGCCCAAACGTGTAGTATGGGTGAACTGGGAACGTCTGGAGGGGGACCCTGTCCGAGAGATCTTCAACTCCCACCTCAGGAGGAGTTTCTCCGGCCTCCCTGTGGAGGCTGGGGACATCGAACCAGAGTGGTTGATGTTCAAAGCTTCTATTGCAGATCCTGCAGCCTGACTCCTGTGATGCCAACATGCTGTAGAGACACACTGTGGTCTGAATAAAATTAGATGTTTTCTTAAAGAGCCTCTTCAGACATGTATCAGAGCTTTAATATGTAACATTTCCTCATTAAGTAGTGTATAAACTCTGGCTTTATGTTCTGTATGTAGTTGTGTACTTACATTACCCCAAATGTTTCCAACAACGTTCAAAATGGATTTGAACTGAATGAAGGTTGCATCTAAATATGCTTTGTACTGATTTTGGTGAAATCAGAAATTAGATATAAAGATGTGCCAAAAGAAGCAAAAAATAGCTTTACTAAAAAAATCCAAGATGGCGGAATATTTTTACAGCATCAGTGGGTTTTACCTACATCAGTAAAATAAGCATCATCTAAGGAACCCACTTTACAAACATGTTTTTTTTCTACTTCTAATGGTTCATAAGTTATCAGCCATTTATTCAGATTTTTTTTTAAGAGTTTGTGAACATTTGAATTATGTTTTTAACTGAAAAAATGTGAGTAGATGTGGCCCCAAAACGTACAGAAGAATAAGCATATGAATAAAGAGTGAAGATAATAATGTGAGACTGTGTGTGGCAATCAATTAAAGTCAAATGATTTCCTAAAACTTAGAAAATAAAGTCTACCTGTAAATGTTCGGTCTATATCATCTCACCACCTGTTTAAAAATGCCCTTTCTTCTCTTTATAGGATCAATTCAACTCGACACAGTTTGGGATCAATAAGGTCTATCTGATCTTAATGTTTTATATGCTACGTTTGTCATTGCAAACCCTTTGTAAACACCTCAAAGAGGTATTCCTTATTAAGAATTTCCACACAAATATTAAAAATGAATGAACGTTTAATCAGTCGGATTATATTAGTGAATTATTTGTATTATTGGGAGAAGATTTTATGTTCTGTTTGCCAAAGTTATGTAACTGCAGGATTCACAACAATAAATCAATAAAAAGACTCTGCATTATTAAATCATGTGATTTGTAACTTTATTATAAAGATAAACTATGGAATAATAGGATGAAGTGTCTCTACAGCACGTTGGCCTTGCAGGAGTCGGGCTGCAGGATCTGAAGAGTCACAATGAGTCTGATAGCTTTTCTAAACCAGGGGTACAAGAAGGCGTAGATCAGTGGGTTCAGACAGGAGTTAAAGTAGAACAGAGAGATCACAAAGACCACAGAGGACGTGTCGAGCACCGTGTCCTGCCCTGTGATGGTGATAAAGCAAAATGGACAAAGACACACTAGGAAGGCAACTACGACGACACCCAGGTTTCTGGCTGCTTTCATCTCAGACTTCTTGGCGGTTACGGTCACCGAGCACCGGACGGCTGCAATGCGAGAGCGTGTGGCGTGAGCCTGAGACGCCGCCACCACAAACACTCTCATATACAGAACCACGATGACGGTGACGGGCCCAATAAAGGTCAGAATGACATCGGCGATTCCTGCAATGTAGTTGATGATGGTCACACACTGACCGGAGCAGGAGTGATACCTGCCCGGCTGCACCAGGTTGTCCTTCAGCATGGCGGTCTGACAGAGCACGGAGCAGCTCCAGCACAGAAACACACACGCTTTAACTCTGCTCTTGGTCACTCTCAGGCTGTAATGCAGCGGCGTACAGATAGCCACGTAGCGGTCGACTGATATGAGCACCATGTTTCCCACCGAGGCGGAGGTGATGATGTAGGCCACGTACTGATACAGGATGCACACAACGTCCCCCAGGGGCCAGCAGCCGTCTATGAGCAGGATCTGGAAGAACATCAGGAGGCCCACGAAGAAGTCTGAGACCGCCAGAGAGAGGAGGAGGAGGTTGGTGGGGGAGTGCAGCTTCCTGCGGGGAGAGGAGGAACACGTTAGGCCCGATGGAAATGATGGCAGCAGGAGGAGGTCACAGAAAGCTGCAGTCAGTCGGACAATAAACAGAAAGTCACAAAATGTTTACATCCTGTTAGATCATCTGTAGGCGGCCTGTATCAATATAAATAAACCTTATTATTATCAACAGGGCTGCACAATATAGTAAAAACATCATATTGCAATATGTTTTATGATTAGCGTGGGAATGATCGTCTTTGCATTACAAATTTGTAATGACTTGGCCAAACTGAGATTCTGATAATATTACAATTATTAAATACAATTAATTGTGCAGCTCCAACGAGATCTGTTTGTCACAGATGAAACTTTCACAACATGAAACAATCTACAGTCAAATATTAAAGTCACACAGAGAGTTATTATTATAGTCATATTTTCATGAGCTCAAATAGAGTCAATGTCAACAATATTATTATATACTTTATAATACATAGTTTTATATTCAGGTTCTACGAGGGTGCAACAGCATTCAGTGCACAGCCAGTTTAATATTCGTCCCTCTGTGAATAATTTCAGTGAAGCACTGACTGTATCTGTGTTCTGTAAATGAATTTGTAGTGCAGATATGATCTTTCTATGTGAATATGTGTTTAAAGCAGATTGGATATAGTGGCAGCAGTGTTCAGCTAACAACACTATAACAGCACAGATGATTGAATGAACATGAATAGCATTTACCTGAATATTACAGAGGAAGATTACTGAACTACAAACAGTGATTTAGTTCTGACATTGAATATATGTGCCAAATTGCAGAAACATGCTTCGTTATTTTCTCTTTTTCTTTCTGCAAAAACACTAGTTGTGCCCTCTGTATGACGGCCTGTGAGTGCAGATTGGAAGCAGGTACTCACACACACACACACACACACACAAACACAATGAAGTAAAAAACACTGGTCCTCATTTCAGCGTAACAGCATTCAGACAGTAACAGCTCTCAGTCAGTGTGTGAACTCACTACTGACACAGATTATCTCTGCAGTTTTGACAACATTAAGGATACAGTCTGTGCACGAATGAGGTCACACACACACACACAGACAGAGGATTTTTCTACACATTCCCAACAGTTTTACAGAGGCTCACAGAGAACACAGGCCTTTAAATGATTTCTGAACATTTGACAGAATGTTATTGACGTTATTTGAGCTCACACTGGTTTATAATATAACAGTAAACATGGTGAAGCTGAGAGGTTGATCTCTGCCTGAAGTGGGAGATGGAGATAATGACGAGCAGGTTGAGAGCAGCAGTGAGCACAGAGATGAAGAACAGCAGGATGTTAATGAGCAGAGCCTCAGACTGAGGACGCTCCAGCCTCCTGCAGGAGGTGTTGAGGAGTTGTGGAAAGCAGAGTTCAACTTCTTCCATTATCAGAGAGAAGAGAAGCTGCTGAACTCTCTGTGAGTCATACACTTCATTTATCTCTTCCTCCTCCCTCCCTCCCTCCCTCCCGTGTGTCACACCCCGCCACCCTACACTGTGTGAGAGTACATCCACATTAAGTCATTGTAAACATATTTTTCTCTCTCTCATCTCAGCAGTTTTCTCCCCCAAAATGAAGCTTTTCCAAAATGGCCACCGAGTGTTCAAATCCTAAAACTGCAGGGGTCAGATGTATAAAGTACGACCAGTGTGTACAGTGTTCAAAAGATAACTGCGTTGAAATGATTTATTTGTATAGCGCTAATTCATAACAAAAGTTTTCTGAGGATAACAGTTCCCAGCATGAGCATGACCTTGGCGACAGTGGCAAGGAGGGTGGCCGTCGGGGTCAGATGAGGTGGACACAAGATATAATCTGAGAGAAGCCCAAACGTGTAGTATGGGTGAACTGGGAATGTCTGGAGGGGGCCCCTGTCCGAGAGATCTTCAACTCCCACCTCAGGCGGAGTTTCTCCTGTGTCCCTGTGGAGGCTGGGGACATCGAACCAGAGTGGTTGGTGTTCAAAACTTCTATTGCTGAAGCTGCGTCTGTGAGCTGTCGTGTTAAGGTCTTGGGTGCCTCAAGGGCCAGTAACCCTCGAACACGGTGGTGGACACCGCTGGTCAGGGAAGCTGTTCGCCTGAAGAAGGAGTATCCTATGGGAGGTGCTGCAGGAGTATGGGGTGAGGGGGTCACTTCTCAGGGCCATCCAATCCCTGTATTTCCAAAGCGAGAGTTGTGTCCGGATTCTTGTTCGTAAGTCGGACTCGTTTCCAGTGGGTGTTGCCCTCCGCCAGGGCTGCGCTTTCTCACCAATCCTGTTTGTGACTTTCATGAGGCGTAGTCGTGGGGGGGAGGGGTTGCAGTTCAGTGGGCTGAGGATTACATTGCTGCTTTTTGCGGATGATGTGGTCCTGATGGCATCATCTGCCTGTGACCTTCAGCACTCACTGGATCGGTTCACAGCTGAGTGTCAAGCAGCTGGGATGAGGATCAGCACCTCTAAATCATAAACCGGTCGATCTCTGTTCCTACCCTCACCTGTGGTCATAGCGATGGGTCATGACCGAAA